ACAGGGAGAGAACGAGAGACGAGAGTCGCTCATCAGTCCAGCTGTTTCCTTTACCAGTCGTCCGCAGGTCCCTGCGAACGGCCGAATTTCCCCTCTGCCAATTCGTCCTACGCTTCTCCTCTTCGCTTGCGGGCAGCGCGCGGGCCGCATCTCTCAGTTCCACATTCCTCAGTCTCCCACTTATTCTCGCAGGTGCGTGTTGTGCAATTCAACGTATCTTCTCCCCTTTCAAGAAGCTGGAATTATGGTTTGTTGCTCCGTGGACGAGGTGCTGGAGCGGCCCTACTCTCGCAGAACTTTCTGTGAGAAAAAAGATCTACTGACACAGGGCAGGCCAGAGCCTGTGTTAAAGAATTTAAAGAGTAAGTGTAAGGATCGGGGCCGGGAATTTACCAGGAGTTTCTGCCGAAGCAATTATACAGCTCATCCCTGGTTGACAGGGTGTGAGTTGTACAATAAACTTTACTGTTGGCCATGCCTCCTTTTTTCGAATGACAAAAACGTTTGGTCTCATCATGGATTTTCAGATTTAAATCATCTTAGTTCCTCAGCCCTTCGACATGAGCGTACGGCAAGCCATACGGAATGTTTTCTGAAAATGAAATTATTCGGGAAACATCGCGTCGAGGTTTTACTGGACACTCAACGTAACGAACAAATTAGAAAGCACAATGAAAAAGTCAAAGAAAATCGCGAGATCCTCAAGAGGCTTATAGACGATGTTTGTTTCCTTGCCAAGCAGGAATTGCCTTTTCGCGGTCACAATGAGTCTGAGGACTCGCTAAACAAGGGGAATTACGTTGAGTTGCTCGAGATCCTTAGGACCTATGATCCATTATTGGACAATCACCTGAAAAATGCCACCACTTTTCGTGGAACCTCGAATGACATTCAAAATGATTTAGCGGATGCCGTGTGCGATGTCATCCTTGACGAAATAAAACAGCGTGTCGCTTCGGCGGATTTCGTCTCGCTTGAGCTGGATGAGACATCCGATGTAAACAAAAAGTCTCAGTTGTCTACTATATTTCGGTATGTTGGTAGAGACGGTATCCCAACGGAAAGTTTCATTGGGTTTACAGACGTAAGCGCTGATAGAACGGCTGAGGGGATTTTTAATCACGTTACCAATATCGTTGAGGAGTATAACGCGGCGCTGAAGCTGATTGCACAAACTTATGATGGTGCCTCTGTGATGAGTGGTCACTTGAGCGGTTTACAAACTAGAGTGAAAGAGGCGTATCCTAAAGCTCTATTTACGCATTGCTATGCGCATGTTTTGAACTTAGTTTTACAACAGTCCCTCTCAGAAATAATTCTAGAATGTAGCTTATTTTTTAAAACTTTAAGTGGAATTCCTAAATTCTTTTCCAAATCTTCAAAGAGGTCATTTGCCCTTCAGGATTTCATGAGCAGAAAACTTCCCTCAGTCGCACCTACTCGGTGGAATTTCATGTCAAGGCTTGTGAATACTGTCCACGAGTTTCGCGCTGAGCTGTTAGAGTTTTTTGAGAGCATCTTAGACGATTCTGATTCTTGGGACGCTAAAGCCATCCTAAAGGCAAGAGGATTCGTCCAGTTCCTAACCGAATTCAGAACAGTGTTTTTACTAGAAGTTTTTGCAAACATTTTTTCATATACCGATGTGTTGTATGATATACTTCAGACTGATACTGTTGATATCGCTTACTGCCACCAAAAAGTGAGGGACACTGCCGATTTTTTAAAACGTGATAGAAATGAGGGCTTTGAGAAAATCTGGGCTGAAGCAAAAGCAAAACATGGGGGGATTGAGAATCCTCGTCCTCTGAGAAATAGGAGTGGTCTATCCGCTGAAGAGGAATGTCGTCGTTTATACAGAGAAATTCATGATACCATCGTGGCACAAATTGACGCCAGGTACGGCTCAGTGCTCAAATTACAGTTTTGCCATCTTTTATCTCATCAAAAGTTTGTCACTTATAGGACTGACTTTCCAACTGACAAACTAGATTCTTTGAAAGATGCGTACGGTAACCTTTTTGATTATGTGAAATTAAAGACGGAACTCACTGTTCTTTACAAAAGCGATGAATTTTTAGGATTGCCACCTTACAAACTGATCCAATTTTTGAGAGAAAATGATTTAACATTCGCTTTCAAAGAGGTAAATAGATTAGCTGCACTCCTCTGCACTATACCTGCTACCACTGCATCAGTGGAAAGATCTTTTTCGGCGCTTAAACGGATACATACGTACTGCCGCTCAACCCAAACTCAAGGCCGATTATCAAGTCTCAGTGTAATAGCAATCGAGAAGGGAATCCTTCAAGAACTGAGGGCGAAAGAAGATTTCTATGACACAGTTATCCAAAAATTTCTCGCCAAAACAAGGAGAATTGAATTGAATTACATGTAATTTTCGGCAGTGTTATAAAGTGGCTAGCTTTTCACCGGATTCTCAATACTGGGTCAAGTAAAATCAATTTTGTCTCGCATCTAAAATTTTAAATCTGGTGACCTTTCAGAAGAATACTGAATAAATAATAAATACCTTTTGAAAATTTTAATTATAATAAAAACTTTTTCAACAATTTTTTTTCATTCATTTAATCAAAAAGTAAATCAAATATTCCTTAAAAAAATAAAAAAAGCTATAAAAAAATTTAAAAAATAAAACAAAAATGAAAAAAAAACAAAAAAAGGGAAAAAAAACAAAAAAAAAACAAGCGGGAAAGTTCTAATACTGTCGTAT